TTTTTTTAACCAAAATCATCTATGAGAGAAATCATTTAAAAGTAAAACAGGTTAGAGACTTCAAAACTTACAACATTGTACATGTATACCAATGAGTGGTCTATAACTTATTCACTTTTACCATCAGTTCTCTGCATATGCGATCCTTGGAGACCATAACTGCTCTTTGTCCTTTTGAGACAAAAACGAAACAATTGTGGAAATAACGAACAACGAACTTTCAGCAAAGCGCACGAGTACCCCACAATTTCGCTGCCGGTTGACCTTCATTCACTACTTTTGTCCGACAAGACATGATTTCCACTTTCCTCAATTTTGTCAGCTGTCCAGAATATCAAGTTTGGTTTACTCCCCTCGACCAACTGCCGTATTCCACCTACTTTTTCGCAGCCGCTCCATAAAACGCACTTTGAAAAGCAACGCAGGACGTCATTTAAACTAATTTTTTCTTCTAGTATTACCTAAAATATCATCTTAGTACAGCGGCTTCAGAGTTGTTCTTTCTTACTACAGAATTAGCAAGTACGCCCCTGGAAAAAATGAAAATAATTTAAAATTATAAGAATTCGCTAAGAAAATTATAAGAATTTGAAATCCTTAAATAATTTGTCATGGAATTTTCCGCAGCTCAGTTGCCAACAACTTAAATAGTAGAGAAAAATCACGTGAAGGATGCAGATAGACTGATACTGTCTCCATCCATTCGGGCAATTACTTGACAGCACTCCTGAAAGTTATTCTGAAAAGGAGAGGAATTTAAAACAGAAAGTTAAACAAACAAAAAAAATAAATAAATTTGGCATTTTGGCATTGTACTAATTTTACTTCGCAATTTATAGCGGAGTGTACAACAGAAAATCTTATATTTGATGAAATTCAGACCTACCAAGAAATTTCAGAATCAGGACCGTAAAATACTTTATATCCACCAAATAAAATGCTTGGCGAAAGAAGAAATGAATGAGAGTCGTTCAGAAACTCCATTTCACCAAAAGGTACTATCATCACTAATTTCGCTTTTCTACCTGTATGATTCGTATATGGGTGGAATCACGAATATTTACAGTTACAACACATATATTTATCCGAAAAGCAGTAATAATAGCTTAGCCAGTTTCATCTACGATTCCGAATGAAACAGATATAATTCTCGTTTTTGGTTACAAAATTTTGCTAAACACCTATAATCCTGCCTTCCTTTTTCACCCGTACGACCTGAACAGGTACAATTTCAGTTACAACGGCTTGAATTTAAAATACGGTTACGCTTCTGTGCTTGAAATAAACGGTATTCCAATTAATTTGGAAATGAATACTAGTGCCGTCACTAGAATTTTCAGTGATAGCATTGCCAACGTAATGGATAAATGTTGCGAAGTAATTGGTTACTTCTTTCTTTGCGAAACGCATTAATTGCCAAGTTTGAAGTATTAACTGTAGAAAAAAGATCCAACTTTTCAAAAGATTTGTTTTTGAGGCAAGAAAAAAAATCGAGATAACAATAAAAAAGCTTATCTGCTCCAAAAGTGATGCTACAGGAACTAATACTGTTTTAAAGCCTAAAAATCGAACGAAGTGCAAAATACAAAAAAAACTTTGCCACTTTTTTTTTCAAAACTTAACGCTACTGACTCAGCGTTTACAACTGTTGTTTCCTCATTCCTTTACTTTTTTATTTCTTACCTTCGTCATCGTAATCAGCATACCGCTCACGAAACATATTTACACTCTTGGGGCCAAAAAAAACTAATTCGAAAAACACCTACATTCAGCAAAAAATTATTATTCCACAAATTTTTGAAGTATTCATTTTTTATTCATACCGCACCAAATAATTCATTTTATACAGCTTTAAGATATAATACACGAGGAAGACTTCGACACAGCATTTAATTGTTACCTATGCCTATGTTAGGCCTTCCACGTCACAAGTTATTTCAACTTTGATAAGCCATTTTATGCGACATTCAAAAACCCAATGAAAAACAATCAAAGAAACAGGGATGTAAAAGTGCAACAAAACATATGCTCACCCACATAGGCTACACACGGTTTCAAAACTACCAAATTTCAAAGTTTTGCGTAGACTTTCTGCGTGGTGTATCATTTAAATCAGCTTATTTTGAATACCGTAGAATTTTTCCACGACCAATATACATATTATAAAAACTTCGCAGTACGTAACGAAAACGTTTTTGAATACAGCTGTGATCAGATCGTAACTACCACCTCAAGAATTTCTTAAACTAAAGAACTTTCATGAAACACTGGCATTGTTCTGAAAAGTACTTAATTCCAGAAACATATTATTGCGATGACAATTCTATTCTCTTTTTTTAAGCTTAAGCACAGTCGTCTCCCATTATCATTAAAGTTTTTCAGTGGCATTTTCTAATTCGAAAACTGAAATTGTCGCGATCAGATAGACTTAAAAAAGCCACATAGAGTTTCAATGTTCAATCTTAATTCAAAGTCAGGCTTTCTTTTTAGCTATTTTATTCTTCAGAAGAATTGTTTCTTTTTTTCTTAGCTAACTATATCTGTTATTACTCAGCGCCATTTTCGAAGCTTTCAATTTATGTGCCCTAAAATGAACGAAAATAAAGATGAGTTAATCGGCTACTCGATAGCTTAATTCGTCGGTATAAAGCAGATATGGAAAATATTATTGTTGTAAAAGCTTTGATTATAGTCTTAAAAATTATAAATGCGTTTAAAAATTGCTTT